TGGACGTCCAACACACCAAAATATCCCAAAAATTGGACATGCCACAAAAATGTTTGTCACAATGTACTATGGTGTGTTGCAAGGCAAGTACGTGGGCTCAGTGTGTAGGGGTGCTGTACAAAATGAATAGAACCACATTATGTCAATTTATGTTACATATGTTGCAGTAATGCATTGATGTAAATCAGCCCTTCAACTTTTTCGCCAGTGTAAAATAGTGAGGGTTTCCCTGCTCTGTGTCTCATTGATCAGGTGTTTGTCAGAAAAGCAGCTTGATGTTGCTGGGACACTTGGAGATGAGCAACATGGTTCAGATGGCCATTTAAAGGATAAGTTTGCCTTTTAGAATATGCTACATGTTCCACCCGTATTTAGGGTGGAACACATGTAACATGTTCCAGCAGCTGCATCTTCTCTCCCTTTCCCTTGCCCCAGTAACAGCGATCAGGGATCTTCTCCCGGCACCCACTGTCACTATTTGAAAATAATATGGCCATGCAGGGATCCACCCAGTTTTCTGTGGATGCCGTGATCCACAAGTACAGCCTTTGTGGCTGACAGCTTGTAATTCTGAATGGACTGCAGGGTCATTGATGAGCAGCCTCATAATTTATTCGCAAGCCCTACAGCTTGTAAACTGTCAGCCCATATGAAGGTGCAGGGCATGTCTGCAGGAGTCTGGAATTGAACCCCTGATCCACTGATCATGGGTGCAATGCTTTCCAGGCTCCTTGGGGATAAAATAATAAATTAACATTATTTTTCCTGTAAAAAATGTGCATTTATAGTTTTTTCCCTAAAGGTGAATTTATGCATTAAAGTGGTTATAAAGCCTAAAGAGTTTTACAGTAATGCATTCCTTGTATTAAGGTAAAACATGTTTTAAGTAGTAGTACCCCCCACCACCCTCCTTATACTTACCTGAGCCCTCATTTAATCCAGTGCCGTGCCCATTTGCTGAAGCTGTCTCCCCACACTTCCTGGTGTCACAGGCTGTTCTGAGGGCAGCAGGAGTCAATCAGCCAAAGCCAGTGATGAGTGAATGGGCAGGATCAAGCCCCGCTGTCTGTGTCCATAGACGCAGGCAGTGGGGCTTGGGAACAAGCCTGCATGAGTGCCCCCATACAAAGCCTGTATCAGAGACCTGAAGTTACTAACAATTGTGAAGATATATTTAGCATTTCTCAAATGATTACAATTATTATTTTAAGGGGCCTTTTTTATGTATCCGTAGTACTGTGCATGATGCTTTCTAACTAATTTTTTTTTTTAAACAGAATACTTTTGTCATGAGCACAAAAAACACCAAATATTATTTTATTAAAACCTATTGTACATAAGAGATTGTGGATGATTAGTTTAAAGCAGTGGTTTCCAAACTGTGACCTGGGGGCCAAATTTGGTTCCTTTCATCTTGCCCTTAAGGCACGATTCCTCTTACTAACACCAACAATGGGGCAATATTCCTCCCATTGACTCCAAGAATGAGACATTATTCCTCCCCCTGACACCAGTGCTGGGGCACTATTCCTCCCCCTGACACCAATGATGGGACACTATTCTTTCCAAGGACTCCAGTGATGAAGCACTATTCCTGCCACCTATTATAAAAGATAGCATTGTATACTTCCACTAACACCGGGGCATTTTCTACTCCCACTGGCTACAGCCTGGCCCTGCTAACGTCTGAAGGACAGTAAACTGACCCTTTGTTTAGAAAGCTTGGAGACCCCGGTTTAGATTTTCATTGGCAAATCAGCAGATGGAATGCTAGGCTTTCTTCCCAGCTAAAAAAAACCTTTGTTTACAGAGCTCAGTAGCTAAAGCTAAAATATTGCTGCATGAAAGCTACTTTTTTCATGAGGAATTCCAGACATTTTTTTTTTCCAAGGTACTGTTTTGAGTCACCATTTCTAGATATCCCCTGTAAGAAATAAATCTTCACTTTGAGTTTTCATGTATGTTAATTTGTGTTTTATATCTTTCTGTTTCAGTTTTAAAGCCTAACTCTAGGGAAAGGAAAAATCCTCCCATTGTAGTGAAATTGACCTCTCACCTCTCCCAAAGGGGAAGTTCCGCTTTTCTCAGATCAGAGGACCTGCCTCTGCCATAGCATAGGGGAGAAGAGGCTGCGGGAACTGGTCTTGCAGCGTGAAGGAGGCTGCAGTAGCAGAGGATTGGGTAAATAAAGCTGCTTTTTCAAGGTCCACTAGAAGTAAATGAGCATTTAGCCCTTGCAGTGTAGGGGCAACTTTACTGCATGGGAGGATTTATCTGTCCCTGCAGTTCAGCTCTAAAGGCTAAGTTCACCTTTTGAAGCATGTTGGGGCAGCACAGTGGCTAAATGGTTAGCACTTCCGCCTGGCAGTACTAGGGTCATTGGTTTGAATCCCAACCACGGCACCTCCTGCCTGGAGTTTTCATGTTCTCCCTGTGCCTGCGTGGGTTTCCTCTGGGTACTCCGGTTTCCTCCCACACTCCAAAGACATGCTGGTAGGTGAATTGGATCCTGTCTAAATTGTCCCTAGTATGTGTATGTATGAATGTGAGTTAGGGACCTTAGATTGTACACCCCTTGAGGGTTAAGGACTGATGTGAATGTATAATATATATATATATATATATATATATATATATATATATATATGTGTGTGTGTGTAAAGTGCTATATAAGTGCCTTAAATAAATAAATAATGTTAGCATGTTACACCCATATTTAGAGTGTAATGTATAATATGCTCCAGCACCTATCATGCAGCAGTTGCATTGTATTTAAAATATGGTATACTTCTTATGTCATTAATGCCCATATTGCTTTAAATTGGACGTTCGACCCAGAATTGCTCTGAGAATATTAAACAGCCATATAACTCATTTACCCTGATAAATAGACATGTTTTACTTCTGTCAAGAAATCAGCATTGGAAATTGATGGCCTTTTACCAATGGCACCATGCAACTCATGCAGTTGTGTAGCACCCCTTGTGCTATGTCTTTGACTGCATAAGGGCACATAGTAAGCATTTCCCAGCCAGACTTCACAAGACATACAGTGTGGAATATAATTATATGATCCCCTGCATATTTTGTAAGTTTGTCCACTTACAATGACATGAAAGGTCTATAATTTTTATCACAGGTGTATCTTAAATGAGACACAGAATATCAAAAATCCTGAAAAAATACGTGATACAAATGTTATAAGTTGAGTTGCAGTTCAGTGATAAGCAATTAAATGAGTATTTGATCCCTAAGCAAAACATAACTTAGTACTTGGTGGAGAAACTCTTGTTGGCACGTACAGAGGTAAGACATTTCTTGTAGTTGGTTACCAGGTTTGCACACATCTCAGGAGGGATTTTGGTCCACTCTTCTTTACAGATCTCTAAATCCTTAACATTTCTTGGCTGTCGTTTGGCAACTCGAAGTTTCAGCTCCCTCCATACATTTTTTTATAGTATTAAGGTCTGGAGACTGGCTAGGCCACTCCATGACCTTAATGTGCTTCTTGAGCAACTACTTTGTTGCCTTGGCGATATGTGTTGGGTCATTGTCTTGCTGGAAGACCCATCCACCATCTTCAGTGTTCTGGCTGAGGAAAAAAGGTTTTCATCCAAGATTTTACAATACATGGCCTCGTCCCATGACCCATCAAAGTCAGCCTCTACTTTTAGCAGAGAAACAACCCTAAAGCATAATGTTTCCACCTCCTTACTTGACTGTAGGGATTTTGTTCTTAGGGTCATAGTCAGCATTTTTCTTCCTCCAAACACAGCGAGTCGAGTTAATGCCAAAGAGCTCAATTTTGGTCTCATCTGACCACAGCCCACAGCACTTTCTCCCAATCCTTCTCTGAATCATTTAAATGTTCATTGGCAAACTTCAGATGGGCCTGGACATGTGCCTTCTTGAGGAGGGGACCTTGTGGGCGCTGCAGGATTTTAATCCATGGTGGCTTATTGTTACTAACGGTTTGTTTGGTGACTGTGGTCCCAACTGCCTTGATCATTCACAAGCTCCTCCCATGCATTTTTGGGCTGATCCCTCACTTTTGTCATGATCATACTTACTGCATGAGGCGAAATCCTGCATGGAGCTCCATACCAAGGGCGATTGATGGTTATTTTGTATTTCTTCCATTTTGCAAATAATCGCTCCAACAGTTGTCTCCTTCTTGTCAGCTTGTTGCTGATGGTTTTGTAGGCCATTCCAGTCTTTTGCAGGTCTACAATATTGTCCCTGATGTCCTTTTAACAGGTCTTTGGTCTTGCCCATGGTGGTGAGGTTTGAGTGGAAGGAAGCAATTCTGTGGACAGGTGTCTTTTATACACGTAACAAGTTGTCGTTAGGGTCAGCTTCTTAAATTGACAGGACTAATCTGTGTACCACATGAGCACATACCCAGTCTGTGGGAGCCAGAATTGTTGGTTGGTATGGGATCAAATACTTATTATACTCACTGAACTGCAACTCAATTTATAAGATTTGTATCATGTGTTTTTTCTAAATTTTTGGTTGATATTCTGTCTTTATCATTTAAAATACATCTATGATAAAAATTATAGACCCTTCATTTCTTTTTTAAGTGGGCAAACTTACAAAATCTGCAGGGATTCAAATAATAATTTTTGCCACTGTAGATAGCATGAGGTATGGGGCTCAGTAACACCATGAATTACATGTTGTTATTGGTAATAGCTGACAATTTCCAATGCTGAATGCTGAACAACTTCAGTACAGGCAAAAGTCAAATGTGGTGCTATGCATTTTTTACAAAGAACTGGTATTATATTGCTATTTATTGTTCATAGAGTGATTCTAGAGTGATTTTCCCACTCTAGTGATTTAGCTTGAAGAGGAATTCACATGGGCCAACTGAATTGTGAACATTTGATTACTATTTACATACTGTAACAAATGAAAATCTAATTTTGTATTTTGTTCTGTTTTTATTTTTCAGTAAGATGACTTCAATTAGAAATATTGATATTAATCCATGCATGGAGGTTAGTTGAAAGCTAAAAATGTTAAAGCATAATTTATATGCACAAATGTTATATTTTATTTGGGGGAAAAAAAATCTAAATTTTTCTTTACCAGTTTATTTTGGCCCACTTTTTATTTGGTATTTGCACGTGAAAACAGTACAAAAATTCTTTCCTTTTTGTTTTTCAGGAAAGTAATGCCTCTATAAAGTGCTTAGATGTCAATGGCTACAAAAAAGAGCTGTGCACTAATTACTTTATCAGATACAAAGAGTGCAAAAAGTTTTGGGTAAGCTAAACTTATTTGAAAAATTTGTATGTCTACATCCTAGCTAGGTGGGATCATTCTTTCTATTAGTATTAGTGAACATTGTCAATAAAACAAAGTGATGGAGATATGTCGGGGAGGAGCCTGAACATGGCGGCTGTGGGGAGCGAGTGGCTCTAGCTCGCTGCTAGGACCCGCTTCCCGACCTCCCTAGGGACCCGTTAAAGAAATCGCCTCACCGGAGTCTGGAAGGCAGTGGAGTTGAGCCCGGAGAGCCGGAGATGGCCGCGAGACGGAGGCTGTAGAGACGTGCCGGTTCCCCCGGCGCTGTGTAGAGAGAGAGATCCAAGCGGCTGGGAAGTGAGGTGACGTGGAGGGAGCACGTGACCAGCCGCGGAGGATCTCTGGGGGAAAGCAGAGACCGGCCGGCGTCCTGATATGACAGGGAGCTGCTGCTCCACTGTTACCGGCTTTTTAGGGCTCATAAACCCCCGGCTTGCTGCTGAATATAACCCTCGGCCGGCTGATTGATCCTGGGCCAGGGAGACCCGGGAATACCAGAAGACCACCCTGCGTCCCTGGGGCGAAGTTTAGAGAGAAAAGCGAAGCACAGCGTCGGAGACCCAGAGGACTCCCCCCCAGGACTGAGCTGATGTGAAGGACCTCCATCCAAGCCTGGAGCCGCTGTCGGGGTGAGTGAGAGCTGATGTGAGCTTGTGGCGTAATAGACCCCTAAGTGACAGTGGGGACAAAGGGGCTAAGGAGGTGAGGGGAGGATTCCCTGGGTCTAGAAGAGAACAAAAGAAGAGCCCCAGGTGCTTTAGGAGAACAAAAAATAAGGAAAAATCATAAGTATATCTGGTCCACAAATCATAAAGGAGCGGTATAACCGCTAGTAATCTAGAGAATATAGAAGGTAAAAGACATATAGAGGATATGAAGAATAAAGGTCCCAAGGGAACAGGGCTCAATGGGTCTCAAACAGGCACGATAAAGAAATTTACATCACATGGAAATATTACGCCAGAAAGGGCCCACGGCGCAAGTGCAAAAGAGGAAATGGACACTAGCTTAGGAAATAGTCCTAGATTATCACTGGATATGAATAGCTCCTGTAACCAACAAATAGCGGTTGGCTTGGGGAAACAAGATCTTGATGGTGAACTACAAGTACCAAATAAGAAGGAGATGATAGAAATGTTTCAAAATCTGGAGAAAATGATAAAACATGAAATGACAGCTATTCGAAATGATTTAGGGCATTTGCTATTGAGAATGGAAGAAACAGAGGAGAAAGTTAAAACCCAGGCCCAAACCATAGATAATCTATGGAAAAAAACAATCCATCTGGAGAAAACTCAGAAAAAACTGCTCTATAGGATGGAAGTTCAAGAAAATAAAGAAAGAAGGAGTAACCTTAGAGTACGAGGAATCCCAGAGTCTGCAAAAGGGGAAACATTATATGAACTAGTTAATAAAATTTTAAATTTCATAAGAGACAGACCTGAAACAGACGGGATTAAACTAGATGGAGTGTTCAGAACAGGAAAGTTCAAACAAGCTAATGAGAAAGAAAGACCGAGAGATATAATTGTCCAGTTCCAAAAATTTGGGGTCAAAGAGGAGATATGGAAGAAGATTAAGGGGAAGATCATTAATTAAATATGGAGACTTGACTATCCAAATTTATGCGGATTTAACATCAGAGACTCTATGGAGGAGGAGATCCCTGAGACCCCTGTTGGAGCAAATGAGAAATCAGAATGTGCAGTATAGATGGGGTAATGCAGCATCTCTAATTGGCTGGAAAAATGGGGTTACAGCTTATCTGAGATTCCCGGAAGAACTGAGAGACTTTTGTGATAGACTGGACTTGCAAAGAGTAGAGATAGCTGGGTGGGAAGAAGAAGAAGAAGGAAAAGGAGTTGCGGCTGATACAAGAAAAGAGGACTGGCAGCGGGGTGGGGGGGGAGGAGGAGGGAGGTCCTGGGGTTGGTGAGAGAAGGGAGGGGAGAATTAAGTAAATAATATGTTTTTCCCTTTTTTTTTTTTTTTGTTCTCTCCCATCCTCCCCTGCCCCACCCCTGTCGTTGTGGAAGCCCTTCAGGACGCTCCGGTTAAGGGGGGGAATAAAGGTTATTGTCGGGGGGGGGGGGGGGGGGGGAGGTGGGGGGGTGGGGGGGGGGGGGGGGGGGGGGGGGGGGGGGAGGGGGGGTTTATGCTGACTCTCCAATTAAAAGAGCAAAAGGGGTGGCAATATAGGGTTGGCAAAGAACATCAGATTTGAGGTGGAGGATAGAAAGACCGATCCGGAGGGAGATTCCTGTTCTTGAAAGGTAAATTACAGGGAATAGAGTGCAAGTTAGCCAATATATATTGCCCTAATAAAAAACCGGAGATCTATTTGAAGGGTCTGCTGAAAAAAATTGATGGACTTTAAAAGAGGGCGTTTGATAGTAGCAGGAGATTTAAATCTCTGCATGGACCCACAAAAGGATACAACCTCCCCTGTGCAGAGAGAGAGTGGTAGGTCTCTGAGAGCTTTGAAAAAGGCGATCCACGAGTACCAACTGGTGGACACCTGGAGAATAATGCATATGAAAGACAGAGACTATACCTTCTTCTCCAATGCACATGAGATATACTCGAGTCTGGACTATATCCTAATAGATCATCAACTTCTAGAACCGTTGGTTAAATAAATAGAGATGAGGTACATTCTCAGATCATGCCCCTGTCATAATGAAAATGGGATGGGGGAAACGGTGGACGGGAGGCCTAGGATGGAGACTAAATGAGGCCCTTCTTTTGGACGAGGATATAGCTCAGAAGATTGGGGAAGAGATTAAGGTATATTTTAAAGAGAATGAGACAGGGGAAGTATCGACAGCTACAGTATGGGAAAGTCACAAGGTATATATAAGAGGAATCCTGATCACGATGGGAGCAAGGAAGAAAAGAGAAAGAAGAGAGAGGGTCAGTGGGCTCCTAAAAGAAATCATGGATTTGGAGCAGATACAAAAGAAGAAAATAACAAGAGAAACAAAACAGAAGTTAATGGATAAAAAAGATGAGCTAGAGAGATTGATGGAAGAGGAGAGGAAAATAGTATATAATAAGGTACTTAGTGAAAGATATAGATGGGGAGATAGACCAGGAAAATACTTAATGAGAGCTTTGAATAAAAAGAAAAATAGAAATTATATAGAAAAGATAAAAAATCCTAAGGGGGAGTTGGTTTATTCAACTAAAGAGATTATTAAAGTATTTACGGAGTACTATAGAAAGTTGTATAATATTAGCCCCCAAAGCTCGTCAAAAGAAAATGGAGAGGATATCAAAGAAAAAAGGAAGACCTATTTAAAAAACGCAGGATTACCAAAGTTAAGTGAAATACAACTGAACTCCCTAGATGCGGAAATTTCCCAGGATGAAATAAAAGCAGCAAGAAGAAGTACGGGGGGTGGAAAAAGTCCAGGACCGGATGGGTACACAGTTAATTACTATAAAAAATATAGTGAAATATTGTTACCTAAGCTAAAGAAGTATATGAACGATTTGGGAGGAGGGATGGAGAGTAGAAGAGAATCTCTTCAGGCCCATGTTGTACTCATTCATAAGGAAGGAAAAGACCCCTCTCAGTGCTCTAGTTATAGACCAATTTCATTATTGAACATCGATACTAAGCTGTACGCAAAGGTTCTAGCAAATAGGCTGAAAGATCTAATGCCAGAATGGATCCATGGAGATCAGGTGGGCTTCGTCCCAGGGAGAGAGGGTAGGGACAACGGGTTGAGAACTCTGATGCTAATCCAGAAAAGTAGAAAAGGGAAAGCCCCGGTGGTGCTGTTGTCGATTGATGCCGAAAAAAGGCGTTCGATAGAGTGGATTGGGGCTTCATGATGGACAACTTAGAAGTGTTGGGGATTGGAGAGAGAATGCGTGAGTGGATAGGTAAAATTATACAGGGAGCCCACCGCAATTATTACGGTAAATGGAGAGAGATCAGAATCCATAGGGATGTCCAATGGAACAAGACAGGGCTGTCCTCTGTCCCCCCTGCTATATGTTTTTGTCATTGGAACCTTTGTTGTCAATGATAAGGAATAGTGGTGCGGTAAAGGGAATCCAGATCGAAAATATAGAACACAAAGTAGCGGCCTATGCAGATGACCTATTATTCTATGTAGGTAACCCCCGAATAACATTACCAAATATAATGAAATTTTTGAAGGAGTATGGGGAACTATCAAACTTAAAAATTAATCCAACAAAAACAGAGATCCTGAACATCAATATATTAAAGAGAGTAAAAAAGGAAAAGTTACAAAAAGAATTCCCCTTTATATGGAGAGAAAAAGATTTAAAAATACCTAGGGATAAAACTCGCTATCTCTTATAAACAACTGTATAGATTAAACTATATTTCCTTAATAAATGAGACTAAGGAAGAATTTAAAATATTAGGAGGAAACCCATCATGGATAGGACGTATAAACCTAGTTAAAATGGTAATTATACCTAAAATACTGTATAGATTCCAAATGGTTCCGATCAAACTCCCAGAGGCTTTTTTTAAGATAATAAAAAAAATGTGAACAAGATATATTTGGAGGAATAAAAAACCAAGAATATCATATGAAATACTGAGTAGGACTAAAGAAAAAGGGGGAATGGGACTACCCGACGTCAAGAGATATTATAAAGCAGTAATTTTAGCAAGAATTGATGATTGGACATTTAACCAGAAGGGGAAGAGTTGGGTAAAAATTGAAAATGCACTGAGTGGGATTAGTTTGAGTAAGATGATATGGATTCCAGCACATTTTAGAAAAATTAATGAAAACACAAGTAATTACACTTTAAATGTTTTAAGGGTATGGGATAATTTACACACAAAAATATGAAATGGGAATTCAGCTCTATATTAATGCCTCTTGCAAATACTGATTATTTCCCCCCAGGAAAGGATGAGATATCAGGGAGATGGTTTGAGAGGGAAGATGTCCAACTGAGAGATGTACTGGTAG